ATCTTTACTTATTTTTAAAAGTTAAATTATTCGAATATATTTGGTAAATTAAGACTTATTGTTTGTAATTTTTTTAAATAATTTTAGTTGCCATTTTCTATTAGAACTAATGAAATTTCGTGAAATTTTCTATTTAAAGTATTGAATTCCAAAAAAAAATAATAATAATAATAACGGGGTGGGGAACCCCGTCCCCAACCCAAATATTCGATTAAGCGGGTAATACTCGTCTCGTTCGGGGCAGAGCCCGCAAGTATCGGGTGTCGGGATTTTTTGCCATCCCTATTTGTAGGGCTGGGCCCATAAACCAAAAACCGCAAATTCGACCCCGAATCGGGTCGGTTTAGAACAAAAACTGGTCTAATCGGGTTCCAAACAAGTATAAAATTATTTGGGTCAAATCCGTTCGGGTTTAAATCCGCTTAAACTGACCCAACCCAATATTAAAAACCCTATCCCTACTTCAAACCCATTGAAACGTGAAATCTTCTCCCCTTCGAAACCAAACTTCCTACCTGTGGCCACTGATTTCCGCATAAAGGGGAGATTTCGAAGCTATTGAAGAATCCGGATATAAGAGAAGGTGTTTCCCGAAGCTGGTTATTGTACCTAAAGAAGAACTTCGCCAACCATTCACCGGAATTAAGGTAATTGATCCAGCCTTTTTGGATTGAATATGAGGGTTTTGGGATGTGAATTGAAATGGGTTGTGGTTGGTTTTGTGTTTCTTATGCTTTTTGGTTTAATCAATTCTTCGAACAAATGAACTAGTTAAAAGAAGAATTGCTTTTTTGGCTCTTTACTTTTCAGATACAAGATGCTTCCCTTTTCACGTACCTGTTGTTTTTTTTAGAGATGTTTGACAAATGTTGTGTAATAAATTTTGCTTAATGAAGTAGGGTTTTAATGGAGAGCTGCAAAATCAGTGTATTAATTTGTTGGAAATTTGAATTTACACTATAATGTACCCAAAGGCAAAGGCTAGGGGGGTAGTCCACTTTTCCCTTTTCAGCTTTCTTTAATACTCTTGTAGCGCAGAACTTTACTTTGAAACTATACAGTTACCATTTTAGCCATTTCCCCCTTTTTTTTCCTTCTCCCATCATCTCTTTTTTTGTCTGTATTGTGT